CCACTCTAGCCGCGCTTTTGCGTCGCTGCGTACATAGACACCTTCGGGGCTGATGCGTCTACAGACATGGCGGCCGTTGCGATCGGCGCAGTGCGTACAAGGCCAGAGACAGCGTGGACCCGTCTATTGTGTGCTCGTGTTCTGGAGCAGGCCCCACGTGGTAGTTCAGTCAGTGGCAAACTCCCGCACTGGGGCCTGCCAGGCGCTGCGTGGGAGTCCTGCGGGAGGGCGCATGAGGGCGCGCTCCCGCCCTGCGCCGCTCTCGCCCGTCCACCGTCGCGGTCGCGCCTCGGTCTCTTTGGCTTCGGTAGCAAATCGCCACGGGAGCCTTGCATGCCCTCGCAGTCTCTTTTTCAGAGTGCACACGCGTCGATTTGCGTGTGGTAATCGATGACATAGCGCCGATATAGCGTCGATCATCGTCGACTAACGTCGACTGGCTGAGCGTCGATTTAGAGTCGACTAGCGTCGATCAGCGTCGACTTGCAAGAGCCTGGGAAGCTCCCTGGAGTTGCCACAGAAGTCGCGGTCGCGCCTCGGCCTCTTCGAGTACCCCCTCCCCAGCGCGGCGCTGCGCGCATGCCGCCGCCGATTCGCACTCGCCCCCCCCCTTGCGGGCAAGATTTGCATGCATCTCCATTGCGTCCTGGAGTTTCGGTTTCCTCCCCCCAGCTACCAGACGCGCAGTGGATATGAGAAAGACCTGGCCCCCAGAGGCTAAGGTGTTGACCCATCACCGTATGCCCGTGATCAGAATCCACTGGGGATGATAAGGTTCGTGGTCCAGGAGGGAAACATACATTCTTTCATCGTGATATCGATGTTAGGATGCCTGGATCGCGTTTCGCCTGAGACATCCTCCAAATAAAATTACGATTTGAAGCTTTGAAGGGGATAAGAAAGTTCGGCCTCCCCGCCTGCTGTTTCAATTGAACCACACTCAATCCCGTGGATAAAGAGATCTCTGGGGAAAGGGGAGATGCTTTATTGTCCGCGGGTTGCGGTTGTACCACTGCGCCTCGGCCTTTTAGCGCCCTTGCCGCGGAAGTTCAAGACGCGGAGGATCCAGATGCACATCTTGCCCGCACCCCTTGGCCTCGTGTCGGCGGGCTACACCTTCCTGTAACGGTGTGCTTCCGCGCTTTTGGTGCTGCATGCTCTGCAGCAGGAGCTCGACCACCAGAAATCTTCCACAAGAAACCCAGCCCTGGGATCCCAGGACGTCCATTGATTCTTGGTGTGGGACGTCAACCATCGAAAGCCAAGAGACCCAGGGCACCCTGGAGGGAAGGCAGGGGGTCTCTTTGCATGGGCTTCCACTGTGCTCGCCCCGAGCGCGCGTCCCCCTCCCTGCGTGCCCGCCGCGGCTGCCCCCTTCCGTTTCTCCCCGCGCCTCTGTGGTGCGCAACTCGCGCTCCCGCGACCCGGCTGCCGCTCCGAGCGCGGCGCGATCTGATGGGCCCGTTTCCCACCACCACTACCACAGGTAGGACGGGGGAGAAGGGAGGATGGGGAGGTCCTCCTCCTCCTCCTCCGCCTCCTCCTCCTTCTCCTCCTCCTCTTTCTCCTCCTCCTCCTCCTCCTCCTCCTCCTCCTCCTCCTCCTCCTCCTCCTCCTCCCTCTCTTGCCTATGGTGGTGGTGGTGGAAATTCGGCCCACCACGATCGCTCCCGCCGCACGCTGACCAGAAAGCTGTCGATGGTTTGGTCGGCTCTCCCGGGAGGTCCTCTTGGCCTCGGCCGGGCGCGGCTTGGAGCCTGCTTTTGTTAGTGTCAGGCAAGTTGACTTGCATGGCGTTGCCCCCCCCCCCCCCCCTCGCCCCTCTTCAATCGAGCTCGAGCGTGCGCGTGCCTCTCGACTTGCGCGATTTCCGCACGCCAAGTCGTTTGCGGCTTGCTTCAGTTTCATCCCCCCCTCCCATCCGTGCCGGTAAACTTGCCAGAGCCCGGCTCTCCGGGGAGGTCCTCTCGGCCTCGGCCGGGCGCGGCTTAAGGCAGGCCGGCCGGGGCCGGCCCCCCGGAGGGGCCCGGGGAGCGATGCTTGCAAGGATCTGCCGGTCGGTGGCAAGTCGTGGGAGCCCGGTGTAGCCTCGCAGTTCCGTCTTCACCGTCGACTCGCGTCGATTAGCGTCTGGGAGTCGATGAGATCGCGCCGACTCAGCGTCGCTCAGCGTCGAGGAGCGTCAATGGAGCGCCGATGTGCGTCGACTAGCGTCGGTTAGCGTCGATCCGCAAGAGCCGGCAAGATTCCACTCGCAAGAGCTCCCACGAGTTGCCACCGAAGGCTCCCCCAGGGGGGCCCGGGGAGTGATCCTGCAGGGATCTGCCGCGCGAAGCTTTGGTGGGCCACCCGCGCGTGGGCGCGAGAGGTAGCAGGTTTCGGAGGGGGGCAGCCCGGGGGCGCGAGGAGCGCCGCGCTGGGCGCGTCGCGCGCCGCGCTGCGCGAGAGGCATTCGTCGGGTGCCGTCCTCCGTTCTCGGCTACGTTCGGCAGCAAGGCGCGGGAGCCTGGTCTACCCTTTCAGGTCCGTTCTCAGCGTCGATCGGCGTCGATTAGCGTTTGGGGCCGATGGGGTAGCGCCGATCTACGTCGATGTAGCTTCGATGTGCGTCGATTTAGCATTAGTGTCGTTCAGCGTCGATCTAGCGTCGACAAGCGTTGATCTAGCGTCGATCCGCGTCGACTCGCAAGAGCCGACAAGCTAATATGGGAGTCTCCCATGAGTTGCCACCGAAGATTCGTCGGCTGACGTCCTGCGTCCTTGGTTATACGGTGCCCTAATTACGGCGGACGCTCGGCCTTCGACGGCGGGAGCAGCCTGCGCGTGACGCAAGCATCATGGCTCAGGCTCTGAACTGGCTGGTCGCTTCTTGCGTGCGGTGCGAATGGGGCAAGAGAGCGATCCGAAGAGGGAGAGGGATATATATATATATATATAGATAGATATAGAGAGAGGGAGGGAGAGAGAGAGAGAGGGAGTGAGAGGGAGGGAGAGAAAGAGAGAGAGAGAGAGAGAGATGGAGAGAGAGAGAGAGGGAGAGAGGGAGAGGGAGAGGAGAGATGGAGAGGAAGATGGAGAGGGAGAGGGAGAGAGACTCAACGATTGTCCCCGTCAGGACCCTGCAACCGGTAGCTGGATCTGCGAAGCACACGCAGCTGCCGATGGCGTTGGCGCGGACCGCGTGGGGTGGAGCGTCTTGGAGGAGGAGGAGGGGGTTGGAGGAGGAGGAGGGGAGGGAGGAGCAGGAGGGGCAGGAGGAGCAGGAGGAGCAGGAGGAGGAGGAGGAGGAGGAGGAGGAGGAGGACCGGAGGAGAGGGGGGGAGAAGGAGGAGGATGACGAGGATTTTGAGAAGGAGGAAATGGAGGAGGAGGATGGAGGATGAGGAGGAGCAGGAGGAAAGGGGGGAGGGCGGGAGAGGGGCGCGGGTATGGGAAGGGAGCGCGTAAGGGGGAGGGGTGGGGGCAGTGGGAGTCGAAGAACAAATGCCCGCCAGCGTGGACCTCATACGGTGGGTTATTTCACCGTGGATGTACAAGCTGCGCGATACAATCTGTGTGGCATGTGCGGTGCAAGCTGTGCGGCGCAAGCTGTGCGGTGCAAGCTGCTGTGGCGCAAGCTGTGAACGCCACATCTGTAGTGCAGGCTGGGCTGAGGAAGCCGCGTGATGCAAACCGTGCGGCGTGAGCCGGGCGGTGCAGGTCACGTGTGGTGCCTAGGCCACGTGCCGCCAGCCCTTTGCTGCCAGCTCTCTGGTGCAAGCTGCGCCGCGAGGAGGAGGAGGAGGAGGAGCAGGAGGAGGAGGAGGAGGAGGAGGAGGATTTTGAGAAGGAGGAGGAGGAGGAGGAGGAGGAGGAGGAGAGGAGGGAGGAGGAGGAGGAGGAGGAGGAGGAGGAGGAGGAGGAGGAGGGGAGGAGGAGGAGGAGGAGGAGGAGGAGGAGGAGGAGGAGGAGGAGGAGGAGGAGGAGGAGGAGGATTTTGCTCCGAGGCGGCGCCTGCGCGCGGCCGCCCCCCGGGGGCAGCCACGAGGCGCCCGCGGGGGCGGCCACGGGCACGCACCCGGGCCGAGCCTCGACAGGCCGGCCCAGCTCGCGGGCGGAGGAGGGCCGGAGACCGTTGCCGGCCCCTGTGGCCCGCTCTTGTGGGAGTCGTGCGCCCTAGCTAGCGCTCGAGAAGTGGCGACCTTGGGGAGGAGGAGGAGGAGGAGGAGGAGGAGGAGGAGGAGGAGGAGGAGGAGGACGATGCGTAATTATATTGTGGCTTGGAGGCATCAACCAATGGCCAACAGTTGGCTCAACTCTGCTTCTTGTGTTGGCCCTACCTTCCCCAACAAAGAGCGCGTGTGCAGTCTGCGGTCGACCTCTTCCGACCCTACTTGTCGCAAGTGCTCACATAGAGCAGTGTGCCCGTGCGCTTCACGATCCTATCCCTCGCAGCAGCTGCTAATTCCGACCTGCGCGTTTCAAAACATAATGCGAAGGCCTTACGGCTGGTGCCGCCGACCTTGGAGGGGGACGACGACCACAACGGCGGCGTGCCCCAACTCGAGGGGGTCCCTTCTGTTCTTCGAGACTGGGTCCTCCACCTGTGAATGCTCTCTGTCTGAAGTATCTCCATGGCGCATTTGGCCTTTGCAGCGGGGCGCATGTTCTTGACCCACGATGCCAGATGTCGGGCTGCTCCAACTTGTTCGATGCGTGGGCCCCGGAAGTGTGGACCACTTCCCAGCTCGTCGTCCTGAACCGTTTTCTGTCGCACTCGAGGCCCGGCGAGGGCCCCCCTGGAGGCCGAAAACGGCCGCCCAAACCGCCCGCTCCAGTTTTTGTCGGAGCGTCGGGTCTCTGGGTATTTTCGGAGGACAGATGCGCACCCTACCCCACCGCCCCACGAGACCTAAGGAGGGAGGTGGGGTGCGCATGTGGCCTCCTACTCTTGTGGCCACGCCTCGATGGTATCGTGGGCCGACGCTGGGGGGCAAGTGGTGAGCAGCGGGTGGGCCCAGGACCCCCGCGCGGTCGGCGCGGGCGGCGGCGGCTCCCCGGCGGCCGCCGCGGAGGGCGCGAGGGTTGAGGCGCCCGAGGACCGCGGCCGCCCCAGAGGTCTCCAGCTCCCGCTCGCGCCAGAGGAGGAGGAGGAGGAGGAGGAGGAGGAGGAGGAGGAGGAGGAGGAGGAGGAGGAGCAGGAGGAGGTACCCATACCGCTACCCGTCGGCCGCTTCCCCCTGTTTGGGCCTCTTGAGAGGCCCTCGTCGCCACCGCTGGATTCGCGCCGAAATTCTGGCCAGAACGCACCCCCAGAGAGGCCTTGGGAGTAGCGGTATCGGCACCTTTTGGTTCCCCCATCTCCAGATGTCCTTCGTGTTGGGTGTTGCGTAGAATGGGAGGTCTCCAGATCTCGCTCGCGCCAGGCGTTTTGCTCACACAAGCCACCTTCGGCTACGCGCAAGAGTGACTCTTCGCTGGAGTGACCTCTGGTGCGGGCCCACTGGGGTCCCCCGGATGCGTTTTGCGCGCTTGTGTTTGGGCCCCCCGCGGCCCCCAGAAAGTCGCGCACCAAAGGTCACTCTTACCCAGGGTCACTCTTTCGTGTGGCCGCCCCCTCGAGCAATGAAAAAATCACGACGGAAGGTTTTGCCTAAATTTCGGCCTCTGGGGGCCCTTACCAGGCCTCGGCGCCGTCAAAAATTATTCCGGATGAGAAGCGGGTCCAGGGACGTTCTGAACAAATCATGATGTCGGGAGTCTGTGGGGTCGTTCGCGCCAGGCGTTTTCTTATCATGGGGGGGGGCGAGAATTGATCGCCCCCCACCTTTACAAGGGGGGCACCTTTCCTCCCCATATAAAATGGTGGGATGAGAAACGGTGCGCCTTTTGTGCTCTACAGTTGGGGCGCTGAAGAAGGAACCCTTTTCGTTGGGGAGGGGCTCGGTGTTCCTTGATTGTTTCCAAGTTTGCCTCGGGTTTTCCTCAGGTTTTCCATAGGGAATCGAGGTTGAACTTATGGGAAAAAGGGGCCTCGTTCCTTATTTAGGGTTCCTTAGGTCAACGCCTCGACTGTAGGGGGAGGGGCACGTTTCTTCGCCCCCACATCCTTCGCGCCCCATCAAGCAACGCCCCGTCCGCGCCGGGCGTGGCGGAACGGGAGGTCTCCTCTCTAGAGGTGGAATGAGGTATCCATACCGCTAACTGCCCTTCGGCCGTTTTCCCTTCTTGGGGCCTCTTGGGAGGCCGTTTTCCCTTTTGGGGGCCTCTTGGATTCGTTTCGAAATTCTAGTCAGAACGCCTCCCCGAGAGGTCCGGGGAGAAGCATTATCGGTGCCTTTTGGTTTCCCCATCTCCAGATGTCTTTCGTGCCGGGCGTTGCGTAGAGTGGGGAGGTTCCAGATCTCGTTCGCGCCAGGCGTTGCGCAGAATTTCGTACAATGGGGGTCTCCAGATCTCGTCCGCGCCGGATGTTGCGTAAACTGGGAGGTATCCAAATCTCGTTCGCGCTGGTCGTTGCGTTTAATGGATGGTCTCCAGATCTCCTTCGCGCCAGGCGTTGCGAAAAATCTGGAGTCTCCAGATCTCGTTCGCGCCAGGCGTTAGGGGCCTCCGGATCTCGTTCGCGCCGGGTGTTGCGTATACTGGGGGGTCTCCAGATCTCGTGCGCTCCGGCGTTGCGCATAATGGGAGGGCGACGCATGGGGGGGGGGGAAAGAAACGTGCGCCTCTTGTGTCGCCCTAAAGGAGCCTCTGGGGCCCAAATGGGGCACGAGTTTCTTCGCCCCCCATTTGTCGCGCCCCATCAATCGTAACGCCTGGTTTGCGTTTGCGGTGGAGCCGGTTGGGGGTCTGAGGTGGCCCAGCATTGGTTCTGGCCAGCAAGAAGGGGGGGATGAGAGGTCCGCGGTGCTGGGTTCTCGAGACGTGCTCTTGTTTTTGTTCGATTCCAGGGGCCGTTTTCGGGCCCAGGGACCATCGAAAACGCATCCGGGGTGAAGCAGACACCAGATGGACCCCCAGAGGGGTCCGGAGACCGACTTTGAGCAGATTTGCCGTCGTCATCCCACTTTTCTTGACCGATGATCTTGGGGCCCCTCCAGTTCAGACCCCCCGGCCGCCTTCCACGAGGCGGCGCCATGGGTTAATCATGGTCCGGCCGCGGGGTGCGCCGCGTGCCCATCGAGCTCGGCGTCTCGAACAAATCGAAGCAGAGGTTTCTCGGTGTCTTCGGCTTCTCCGGGCCCGTGCCGGGCCTCGGGGCCGTCAAGACGACTCGCGGGACGGTCCCAGCGAGGCGAAGTGGTCGGGAGGTCGGGGGCCCGGGTCTCAAAGAATCGCGACGCCGGACGTCTGAGAAAGTCTGGGCGCGTCCAGGAGGGGGAGTGGGGACCGGGAGGGTAGGTATCGTGGACGGGGCCATGATATCTTCTATAGTAGCCGATGCCAAGAAACACCCTGCTTGCCTCCAGGGTGCCCTGTGTTTCTGGAGTTTCGATGGTTCTGCCATGGAGAGCGTGACGCTCCCACACCAAAAATCAATGGACGCCCTGGGGTCTCAGGGCTGGGTTTCTTGTGGAAGGTTTCCTTGTGGTCGAGCTCCTACTGTAGCCAGACGTCATTGTCCCCCCTTCCTCGTTCAACACGTCCTCCACGCGTCTTCCTTGGCCCCCCCCGTCCGCGCGGTGCCTCAGACCACGTTGCGCACGCCCCCCTCCTCGGGACACCCCTCTCCGGCGCAGCCGACGTCGAAGGCCCCGGACATCGCTGCGTCACATCGAAAAGTCACGACGGAAGGTGTTTGGCTCTCGTCGAAGGCCCCAGACATCGTTGCGTCGCAACGACAAGTCACGGCGCGAGGTAGTTGGCCCTCGTCGACATCTTGGGGCTCTCGCCGAGCCCCGGGACCGTCAGAAAACGGCTCGGGAAGAAGAGGCGGTCTTGGGGAGAGGGTCTACGTCTCTGGAGGTCCACGTCGAGAAAAACAGCGCCGTCGAAGAACTAGATGGAAGCTTGAGGAGCGAGGGTCAGATTTTAGCGGCGCAAGAACGCCGTGACGGCAACATGTTTTTCTGTTCTTTTTCGCTTCTGGCCTCATGAAGACCGCTTCCCAGCCCCGGGAATTGTTGCAGAAACGACTCGGGATGAAAAACCAGACTTTTGGAAAGGGTCGAGATCCCCGGTTGTTCCACGCAGGGGGGGAGGGGGAGGGTCACGGTATGAGGACGTTTTGCGGTTCCCCTTGAGGTGCCCTCGTGGCCATCGGCGGATTCCCGTCAAGATCTTGGCCAGATCGGATGCCTTGGCAGGTCTGGATCTGGGGCCCCTGGTGTAATTAGTTAGCACTGCTTGTTCAATGATCGGGGGGGTCCCACCTACCCAGACCCCCGACGTCATGATTTGTTCATGACGTCGACGCCCAGAGGTTTCGACCTATTGCCAGGGACCGGTTTCTCATCCCGAGCCGTTTTTCGACGGCCCCGAGGCCCAGGGAGGGCCCGCGGAGGCCGAAATTACACTGGGGGCGCGCATCAAGAAACAATGTGCTTCTCGTCAGGGTATCCTGGGTTTCTTCGCTCCGCCCGCTGCGCGGTGACTTCCCGCAGCCATTGAAGAAGCTGCTGCGTTCAGGGCGCTCCCGGAGTCCTCTCAGGCGCACCTCGCGCGCGGGTTTTAAGGGTTGGGTTTCTTGCGACGGTTTCTTGCGGCCGCGCCCTCACTGTAGCGAAAAACCTTCCGTTGCATTTTTGTTTGTTTCACACTGCGAGGAGGTCATGGGCATGGGGCCGCACCGGGCGGCTGCTCCGGCGAAGGGTCGCTCTCTTGCCTGCGGTCGAAGCCCCCCCCCCCTGGGGGCCACGAGCGCCGCTCGCTGGCAACCGGAGGTGCCGTCGAGGCCCGGCGCAGCGGGAGAGGACGTGCGCGGCGCCGCGGCGCCGCGGCAGTGCCGCAGGGCGGGCCGCGGCTGTCCGAGCGACGCGCCGACGGCGAGCGAGCGAGCCACGCGAGCATGCCCTCGGCATCGCTCAGACGTGTGCATTTTTTTTTTCCGGCGAGGACCTTCGAGCATCCTCGACCATTTGGTGACAAAAACCACGCACGAAACCCAAACAAACACAGGGGATGGACGTCCGAGCGATGGCCAGTGCCTGTCGGCTGCTCGGCCCTGCGCCGGGCACGGGTGAGCAATCCGTCCACCGGCCAGGCAGCAGGCATGTGAAAACATGGAGTTGGGCATTCGGAGAAAAGGGGCCGTCGGCGTTAGGCAATCAGGCTCTTGCGAGGCCCGCTCGGACCTTACTCGTCGCTGGCGCTCTCTCGCCTGCGGCTGCGACAAAAAAACATTCGGAGAAGAGGGGGAGGGAAAGAGGGGGAAAGGCCAACGCCGGCGGGGATCAGGATCCCACCACAGGTGCCGTCGAGTCGGCCTTGCCTCCCTGCTTGGCAGACGTCGTCCCTTGCCAGCACACGGCTCGCAGTCAGGCCGCCAGCGGCTCTGGCTCGCGCGGGCGACGGGAGCGCCCCCAGCCCAACCTTCTGTTGCATCTTCGGGGGACCTCGCCTGTCCCAAGAATGGGTGTCTTTTTGGGGGCCCGACGCGTGCTCGATGCGGACTCGACGCGGATTTGCGTGGATTCGACGCGGATTCGACACGGATTCGACACGGATCCGACGCGTCCGACATGGATTCGACACGAATTCGACGCGGACAGGACCGCGACGGGACAGACAAGGTCCCCCGAGGATGCAACATAGCCCAACCCAGCACTTCGGACCACTGCCCCCCCCCTTCTTGCTTGCCAGTGCTGGGCCACCTCAGACCCCCGGCCGGCTCCGGCGCAAACGCGGACCGTGCGCCGCCTGGGTTTGGTTCCTCCACGCGCCCCGCACCCAAGGTCACGCTTGCCTCGCGTCAAAAGGCGCTTAGAATGAAGATGGGCTGGCCACCGAGAACGAGGTTGACGACAGCGAGCTACACGGTGAGCCATCCCCACCTCATTCAAGTTCGTGTCTTGCCCTC